AGACACCCTCAGAGCCAATTCACTACCCATACTTTACTACTATTAATACAATCCATCCAATTGGAAAGGAAAATGAAGTCTTTAAGATTATTAGTCGATATGTATTTACTTTTGCTCCATGCAGAATTATGCCTTCTAAATGCTATTATGCTCATTTTTACATTTTTACTTGTAATATAACATGAATCTGAACTTAAACATGAATCAGAATCAGGTAGGGATCTTATTAACTGCGGACTCGGATTCAGTAAGCCTGGGGGGTAGGCCTGAAAGTCTGCGTTGCTGTACTGCAGTAGTACAGCGGAGCAGGGACACCTGTTCCTCTCTGTTTTTTGTGTTTGCCTGCCCTTGAACTTGAAAAGCCCAAGTCAGCATTTGCCAAAAAAAGAAAGAAAAAGACATAAAGGAATAATATGAATTCATTTCTGCACAAAAACCTGACTTTATTTTGTCTCCATGTGGCAGTCTTTTTAGTTAATGGACAGGCACATGATGTAGGCTGACTTGGCTTCTGAAATAAGTCAGATGTGATAATAATTATATGCAATTCCTTTCATGGGAATTTCATATTCATATGGAAGAAGAGGAAGAACTCATTTGCTCTGGAAAAAAGTTTAGCCAACTGCTGATCAGGTTGCAGCTACATCTCTGAAGACCCAGCCCTGAAAAAGGCTCTGTGATCAGAAAAAAATCCTCTGTGTTATCTGCATTTGGTCCAGCCATCACACTTTATACCTTCCTGTCTTGCTTTCCTCGCAGCTTCCTTTTCTGTGTGCAGTGGCTGCATACCCAAATCAACAATTAAATCCCCCTTTGTTTGTGTGGCAGATGACAAATGCACGGAGGGCATCTTGTGTTTCCTAGGCAGGCAGGGCACTTACTTTGATTGATGCTCGGTTGTGGAAAAAAATGAGCTGGGAAGGAATTACAATGGAGGGCCTGCAGACTGGAAGGGGATATACTCATTAGTCCTGCATTAGCAGTCGGCTTGCATTTGATGATGAGACGCCTTCAGGAGGGCAGCGTAGGGGTTATTGATGCAAAACAGCACGGAATGCCTCATGCCAGGTAGTGTGTATTAGGTTTGTTAAGAAGTATAGAATTTTGTAATTAAGAAATAATCATTGAGACTCTATTTTTTTTCATATTCCCCATATATATGAGGGAGGCCATGCTTTTTAACTCTACACCATCTCAGACCAGCTGGAAGTCCTCTCTTTCTGAAATAACTCTTCCAGAACTTCCACATCTTGGGTGTGGGTCCAGGAAGGTACACTGCCATGGCTTCCACCCTCTCTGGCTCCTCCTCTGAAGCCTCACAGCCCCAGCACCTTGCCTTGCTAGTGGAGTAGGAAAGGCTCAGGCTGCTCTTTCCCGGTTCTAGAGGGTTGCTGCTGACTCAACCTTTAGGGAGAGGCAAACTCAGCATGTCCTGTAGACACAGGCTGAACTGAAAGGGACCAGCAGGAAGTGCATAGCATGGTCGGTCCTGTGGTTTAGCGTGTGTGGTTTGCTCTGGTGTTTTTCCGGCTCCAGGCAGTGGTAGAGTAGGTGATGGTTGTGCCACTCTCATAGCTCATGAGTGACACAGATGCTCCAGGTAGCTGGAGTGTGTGAACTCTAGGGAGGCATGACTGATCATCTTGAGGTCAGTCCCTCCTGAGCAGTGGAGAGCTAGTGGACGATAGGCATAGATGCTCAAGTAATTGCTAATATGAGTGGTTTAAAATGCAAACCTTGAAATGCTGATTTGGTTAATTTGGCCTGAAGAATCAGTGAAATTGGGTTCAGTAACTCCAGTGAGGTGGCTTAAAGAAAAAAAAAAATCACAGAGGTCTTTAATCACTGTGTGAAAGAAGAGAACCCACAACTCCCTTAGTCTGGAATCCCAGTGTAATTTGGCCAGCCCTCCATGTCAGTATAGATGAGGTGACTTTTAACGTCAAAACCCAGTGAACTCTCAGGCACCTTGTGTTGACCTAGTAGGAGAGTAAGTGGTCCCGAGTTCTTGGTTCAAGTGCCCAGAGTTGCCAAATTCTAGTGCAGCTGAGATTCCCTTTTACTTTTCTGATTCTAGAGACAAGTTCATGTATGGATTTACAGATGCCTATTTTAGGAAAAATGATGTAAATGATAAAGATAGCATTTTAAGTTGTCAAAGGCTATTGAGTCTTTTAAAAAAATGTTTCCTGCCTAAACTGGAGTATAAGACAGATATCAAAGATCAGAAATCTTATCGGATGACTAAAACCTGTCTTTCATGGATTGAGCGAGGAATTGTGCCAACAGCTCTCAGAAGAAAAGCTAAACAGTTAATGTGGCTTATTTTTTAACCATTCCTTTGTTGTAGAATTCTATCTTATTCTTGAACTCAGTGTATGTCACCATGACCTTCTCCTGCCAAGAGGGCCCAGCTGAGGCAGCCTCAGCAATAGCCTGGGGCTTTGGACAAGCAAGATGCTCTGCTGGCTTTTTGCCTTTGCTTACAATGTTTACACAACCAAGACTTATTACATGCTCTGTCATTTTGTTACTGGGTTGGCTTTGGTTTGAGAATTAGGTAAACATCAGACATTCCATCACACAATTTTAGACTCAATCTTACTTTATAATGATGTTAATGTTTATTGTACAAAGCGAGATGCATTTGTATATTTTAGCATTTTATTTCAGTCACAGAATGAAAAATCTGACATTGGCATCAGTTTGATTTTTTTTTTGTGTGTGTGTGTGTGATTGAAGATATTAAGCACTACAAGAATGTTGAAATTTCAATCTGATTAGGATCAAAATTCTTCAGGATCAAAACACTCCTTTTCCTTCCCCTACAGTTTTACTAATTGTGTGCTACTTGACATTGTGGAGTTATTCCACAGCGTGAGAGCTAAATATGTGAAGTGTATTTTACTGTGCAGAATTATCAGCTCATTCTATTTGTTCTTCATGTGTTTAAGGTTATTAAAAGAACTTAAAATTAGAAGTCATGTGCATGAGTTGAAAGGGTGAACTCAATCATTGTTAGTAGGCTAAATCATAAAGCAAGCGCCAGTATGTCAATATCAAGTAATGAAAACACCCAAAGAATTTGAAAGCATGCCTTCTCTGTTTGTTAGCTGGCAAGATACCAGAAAAATTAGGAGACTAGTGCAATAGCGAATGGCAGAGTTGTTTTATTTTCAGCACTCTGAAATTATTCTGGTTACTGAAAATGAGATAAAAGTAGATCGGAAAGAAAGGCATCAAACGTATTTGTTGGAGACCTTTGCTTTATGAGAAGAAATGAACTGCCCTAGCTCACTGTTCCTGAGGAATTGGAGTTCTTCAAGCCATAAATCAAATCCCAGAGAAAGAGCATGATGTTTTCCAAGTAATAACTGAGGATGACAGAAGTTCTTTTTTGTTAGCACCAGGTTTCTGAATTTAGACCTCAATTACAATTCCAAAATGAGAAAGCACCCCTCTCTCCACACACCCATGGTCTATGGCAGGATCCTATAAACAGTATATTCATTTTTAAAGTTTGGATTTCTGGTTTATCAACTCTGGATCTCTGATCCAAAAATCAGAGATCCTGATTATTCTTCATTTTCTCTAGATTCCCAGGTACAAAGAACCTTATGTTTCTTTTCAGGAAACAACATCATTTTTTGTCCCAGTTAATTGAAGAGCCATCTGTTTCTGTGATACACAACACCCATTCCTTCTTAGCAACAAGTGTGTCCCTAATTCCCTGTTGTGCAATACGAGGCAGGCACTCAGTGTTGGAGTAGACTATGCTGGAGAGCAGCCTTACAGACAGGCTTTTTCCAGAAACATGGTACATTAAGAATTTGACATTGCGCTTGGTGCATATTATTGTTGCTAATGCAGGGTTAAGAACACATTATATGATGCTCACACTTTGAGACTTTGGCTAGCTTACTGTCTCTTCATTAATGGTTTTGGAGGAAAGGAAAGATCTGAAACAGCTCTCTTCCACCATGGCAATAAAGGGGAGGGGAAGTAAATACATAGGCCACCTGGCTGATTTTACTACATAAAAACTTCAACTTCAAGCTGTACCATCTCATCTGTGGCACTGGCATGTATTTACAGTCAGAGTTCAGAACTGGGTTTAGAACTTCCTAGGAATCCAGCTGGCAGGACCCTCATCTTTTAGGAAGAGCCTATTGATTGGCCATTAAAAGGACCTCTGTTTGGAAAAGGGCAGCCTCCTCCTAAGAGGTCCACCAGACCAGAGTCTCTTGCCCTATGGGATTGTCAGACCTCTTCCATATATAGTGTAAACAGCTCTGCTACATTTAATGAGGGAACGCTGCAGGAGGACACAGGTACATGCGCATCACTGCTTGCACCCAGCCAGACCGCCGCTGGGCTGCCTTGCTCAACTGCCACAAAAGGTGCCTTGGAGGTTAGCCTGCAGGTCTGGGGCTGGGAACCAGACTCAAAGAGCTGAGATGTTTGTCTCTCCCAGACACCAGGAGATGGAGGTGCTGCTCCTCTGATGACCCTCTTTCCAGAAAAATCGTGAAAAGGCGCTCCGTGTGAGAGCTGCTGTGCCCACACAGTGTGCTCTGCCCTTGCCCCGCTTTGGTGGCTAGGCAAGTGGGAGTCTTTATAGGTTCGGTCTGTTTGAAGTTGGCTCCTCCCATGCATATTTTGAAACTGAGACCACAAATTTCAGAGTGGAAATGAAAGGGTCAAGAAAGCACTGAAGACAAAGTTCTCTGTCACTTTGTGGGAGAGAGAGAACCCGAGAGACCACAAAATCCCGGCTGAAGGCCTGACGACCCAGCAGTTTCTCTGGGCCTCAGGTCTAACTTCCAATGTAATTCCAACACAAGTTGAAGTGATTTGCATCTCAATTTTTCTCACTGCATGCTGACAGTCACCTCCCACATGCACAGGGGACAGGGAGGGAAAAATTGGCACTGAAACCCAGCAAGCAGTAGAGAGCGGCGATGCCAGCCAGGTGGTCCCCACACGGAGGAGGTACTTACAGTCCAGGTGGCTGTGCCTGATGCCCTCGACGTCTTCGGCGTGGATAAAGTGGTAGCATCTCTTCCCTACAATGTCTACAGGGGTCAGGTCCATATAATCACTAATCCTACAAAGAGCAGAACACACATTGGAATTCAGAAGAGGGAAAATATAGAAACTCTCAAAAGACTTAGAGACAAATCTGAGCATTTCCATTATACCAGGGTACCTGTGAGGACGTGGTACTGTGAGGGAAAACCCTTTATAGATAAGATTATTTCTTTAATGTATAACAGACTTTCTCAAAAGTAGGAATTGTGCTATATCAGGCAATTGTGTTTAAATAATTAGGTAGGTTTTTCCTTTCTTTTTTTTGGCATCAGAATACACGTTTAGACAGCATAATTCCATGAAATTATTGAGACTCAGTAACAATGCAAGATCCTCATTAGAGGCCAAGATAATTCAAGGTTACATAATAAAATAAAAACATGTTACGTTTATACCAAATGATTAGAGACACCTTTCATTTGAACAGATTGGTCTTCTATGGGGTATTTCCATGAAAAAGGGCTTCAGCCGCTTCTTGGCACAAACTCTAAATTGGCATTCAAGGGATATAATTTAAATGCGGAGACATACAGATGCCTGGGGGTATTATCTTCTTTAGTCTTAGTCATTTGGGAGCCCAGCTTTCACTCCTGGCCCTTTTAACTGGTACTTTGTGGTAGATTCCACACAGAAACTTTTAAACCATTTGAATAGCTCTTCCAGGCTTGTGCCTGACAGTACGTATGCGTAAGCCTGCATCATCGATTGTCCAGACGTCAATGTCCTCAGGCAGGAGCACAGAAAAATAGAACCCAAATTGGAAAACATGTGGGGGGCATCTGCCGGGATTACATAAACACGTCAAAGTGCTTACCCTCCCTATCCAAGGACAGATTCATTTTTCAGGCCAAAATAGAAAATAGCTTTTGTTTAATTTATTCCCTTTACTGTCCCTGTGCTTTTGATGGTTTATGACTTATGATATATTCAAATATGAAGTGAATCTTCAGAAATGACACATTTAAACACCCCATGAGATCGTTGTTGTGGAGTCATATCTGGCTCCCCAAGGCAGAGAAAAACAAAACAAAAGCAGAATAACATGGAATACAGTTAAAATATACTACCCATTAAGTAAATTTATCAATGTCTAGTGATTCTTAGTGTAGGACTAAATGGGGCAATAAAATACTTCTTATTTTTTGGGTTTTCTCAGGATTCCATGGTCTTCTGGTACAAAACAGATTAGTTGGTGTTTTCCTAAAACCACTAGCTGCTTTCCAAGTGTAGTTTACACCCCCTTATTGTGAGTGAGTGAACAAGGATGGCATTAAAAGGCACTCATTGGTGTTTCTGGAATTTGCCAGCTCCTCTGAAAGCAGTAGATGTCGGCTTTGCCCGAGGCTGTCCTAGGGAATGCAGAGGAGAACCGTCTGCAGAGTCAAGGAGCCGCTTTAGTTTCTAGTTAATAATTCCCTAATTAAACAATAAACACTGGGAACAAGCCACTCCGTTCTTTAGGGAAGATGTTTCTTTAGTTTATACTTTGTTGGAATGAAATCCTTCAAAACAGTTGGAGCACTTTTCTGTACTAGAGTCTGCCACTGCCACGAACATGACCACTCAGGGTTCAAAGCCCTCTCAATACATGTGCAGAAGGTGGGAGACCAGTCTGGTGACCTAAGCCAAGATCAGAGTCTTGATGGCATCTTGTACTCTGAACTCGGTTTCCTTACCTATCAAACAACCTAAGAGAGCGGCGAGGGGATTAATGAATGAAATGAAATGAAGGTAGCATAGTGCCTGGCACACTGGTCTGCTTTACCCTCAGACCAAATAGACAATTACCCTACAGAGGTCCTCTTTAATAATGACCATCACCTTCAGTCTAATAAGGGGTTGTAGGAACTTATACTTTTTAACGGGAGGATTAAAACGCTCAAAGTGGGACACAGAAAATGATCTCAGTTACTAGATGGGCAGCACGGGCACTCGGGTCCATGAAGCAGAGTCAGTCAATCTGTGATCACTGATTGCTGGTTCTGAGAGAGGACAACCATGGAAGTTAGGCAAATAAGATGAGGCTCCAGTTTTTGGAGGGAATGCCAGTGGTAAATCTCAATCAGGGAGGCTGACATTGGTTCTCAAAGGAGTAAAGCCAGAGTTCACCCTTTAACTTTCTATCTGCCTTTCTGGATTGGAGCTCCAGCATTCTACATTTTCAATCAGAGAATAACCAGCTGTGGGCTGTAACTCTGTCCTTTAATGGATGCATGTGTGTGAAAGGTCCCTCTCAATGGCCAATTCCTTACTGTAGAGCCCAACTTCTGAAGAAAATAAGAGATAAGGAACATAGGGAGACCCCCACAGAATGTAGTTAAGTGCAGTGTTTGAATCTGGCAGATTTGGGTTTGAATCCTGACCTGGGGCATGTCACTTAAGCATTCTCTTTAAACTGAAATTGCCAGAGGGTGATGGAGATAGCCACACCTGCCTCACAGACCTGGCCTGAAGCTTAAATGAGATGGTGACTTTGATGAGCTTCGCACACTGCTGAGTTGGGTAACACGGGTTCAACAAGAATTAGCTATTTTTATTATTATTTGCCCACTCCAGTTAATCATTTAGGCTATCTTTCCTGATATTCTTTGGCCATTCTAAAATACCTTAGAAACAGCCAAATATACAGTTGCCATGATAAGAATTTTAATAAATAGAGTTACTTATTTAATAATAATGACAGATTCATGGTGTCTTCTATCCCACTGAACACTAATAGCTCGGGTGGGTGCCTTTCCCCACTGGTGAATCCTTTCCTCTGAATCAAGTCCCCACTGGAAACGGTAGGCATGTCTAACTTGGCTCAACATCTTTAGCACTCTCCAATGGACTGGATGCAGATACTGGCCGTCTTCCTCTTGGTTAGGCCCTGGGGAGGCCAATTATCCACCTGGGTCTTCCACCCTTTCATTTCCCCTCCAAAGGCACTCACAGGGCTCAGTGGACAGATGCTGCCTTCATGCTTGACGATACTTTGTGCCACAGAAACACCCTCTCAGACCGACTCAGTCATTCTCCCGGTAGCACTGGGGCGGGATGGAATTGCCAAAGCGTCCCTCCACAGCTGACACACATGCGGCACCTGTGAGTCTCTCCTCTTTACATCAGTTTGATGATGGGCTGGTGACTTGCGGGGGTAAGGTCTGAAGGGCACTCTCCCATTTCCTTGTCCCTTGCTTTTTGCATAATGGAAAAAGTGAACTTTCTAACCAGAGGCTAAAAAGTCCTTTTATTAAAGCTCAGTGTCGAGGAAGGCCTGCCAAGTCGTTTATTCAATGAGTCCTCATTTATATCTTCTTTAGTCTTAGTCATTTGGGAGCCCAGCTTTCACTCCTGGCCCTTTTAACTGGTACTTTGTGGTAGATTCCACACAGAAACTTTTAAACCATTTGAATAGCTCTTCCAGGCTTGTGCCTGACAGTACGTATGCGTAAGCCTGCATCATCGATTGTCCAGACGTCAATGTCCTCAGGCAGGAGCACAGAAAAATAGAACCCAAATTGGAAAACATGTGGGGGGCATCTGCCGGGATTACATAAACACGTCAAAGTGCTTACCCTCCCTATCCAAGGACAGATTCATTTTTCAGGCCAAAATAGAAAATAGCTTTTGTTTAATTTATTCCCTTTACTGTCCCTGTGCTTTTGATGGTTTATGACTTATGATATATTCAAATATGAAGTGAATCTTCAGAAATGACACATTTAAACACCCCATGAGATCGTTGTTGTGGAGTCATATCTGGCTCCCCAAGGCAGAGAAAAACAAAACAAAAGCAGAATAACATGGAATACAGTTAAAATATACTACCCATTAAGTAAATTTATCAATGTCTAGTGATTCTTAGTGTAGGACTAAATGGGGCAATAAAATACTTCTTATTTTTTGGGTTTTCTCAGGATTCCATGGTCTTCTGGTACAAAACAGATTAGTTGGTGTTTTCCTAAAACCACTAGCTGCTTTCCAAGTGTAGTTTACACCCCCTTATTGTGAGTGAGTGAACAAGGATGGCATTAAAAGGCACTCATTGGTGTTTCTGGAATTTGCCAGCTCCTCTGAAAGCAGTAGATGTCGGCTTTGCCCGAGGCTGTCCTAGGGAATGCAGAGGAGAACCGTCTGCAGAGTCAAGGAGCCGCTTTAGTTTCTAGTTAATAATTCCCTAATTAAACAATAAACACTGGGAACAAGCCACTCCGTTCTTTAGGGAAGATGTTTCTTTAGTTTATACTTTGTTGGAATGAAATCCTTCAAAACAGTTGGAGCACTTTTCTGTACTAGAGTCTGCCACTGCCACGAACATGACCACTCAGGGTTCAAAGCCCTCTCAATACATGTGCAGAAGGTGGGAGACCAGTCTGGTGACCTAAGCCAAGATCAGAGTCTTGATGGCATCTTGTACTCTGAACTCGGTTTCCTTACCTATCAAACAACCTAAGAGAGCGGCGAGGGGATTAATGAATGAAATGAAATGAAGGTAGCATAGTGCCTGGCACACTGGTCTGCTTTACCCTCAGACCAAATAGACAATTACCCTACAGAGGTCCTCTTTAATAATGACCATCACCTTCAGTCTAATAAGGGGTTGTAGGAACTTATACTTTTTAACGGGAGGATTAAAACGCTCAAAGTGGGACACAGAAAATGATCTCAGTTACTAGATGGGCAGCACGGGCACTCGGGTCCATGAAGCAGAGTCAGTCAATCTGTGATCACTGATTGCTGGTTCTGAGAAAGGACAACCATGGAAGTTAGGCAAATAAGATGAGGCTCCAGTTTTTGGAGGGAATGCCAGTGGTAAATCTCAATCAGGGAGGCTGACATTGGTTCTCAAAGGAGTAAAGCCAGAGTTCACCCTTTAACTTTCTATCTGCCTTTCTGGATTGGAGCTCCAGCATTCTACATTTTCAATCAGAGAATAACCAGCTGTGGGCTGTAACTCTGTCCTTTAATGGATGCATGTGTGTGAAAGGTCCCTCTCAATGGCCAATTCCTT